AAAGAAAGAGAGAATGGAGAAAGAGAGGGAGGGGGAGGGAGAGGGAGAAGAGGAGGGAGAGAGGGAGAGAGGGAGAGAGGGAGAGAGGGAGAGGGGAGGAGAGAGGGAGGAAGAGAGAAAAGGGAGGGGAGAGGGAAAGGGAGAAAGGGAAGGAGAGGGAGAGAGAAAGGGAGAGAAAGGGAAGGAGGAGGGAAGAGAGAGGAGAGGGAGGGAGGGAAAGAGAATTACAGGGAGGGAGGGGGAGGGAAAGAGGGGAGGGAGGGAGGGAGGGGAGAGAAAGGGAAGAGGAGGGAGAGAGAAGGGAGAGAGGGGAGGGAGAAGGAAGGAGATAGAAAGGGAGAGAGAAAGAGAGAGAGGGAGAGAGAAAGGGAGAGAGAGAGAGAGAGAGAGAGAGAGAGGGAGGGAGGGAGGGAGGGAGGGAGGGAGGAGAGAGGGAGAGAGAGGGAGAGGAGAGAGAGAGAGAGAGAGAGAAGAGAGAGAGAGAGAGAGAGAGAGAGAGAGAGAGAGAGAGAGAGGAGAGAGAGAGAGAAGAGAGAGAGAGAGGAGAGAGAGAGAGGAGAGAGAAGAGAGAGAGAGGAGGGGAGGGAGGGAGGGGAGGGAGAGATGGGGAAGGGGGGAGAGACGAGAAGGGAAGGGGGGAGAGAGAGAGGAAAGGGGGAGAAGGAGGAGAGAGGGAAGGGGGGGAGGAGAGAGAGGGAAGGGGGGAGAGAGAAGGGAAGGGGGGAGAGAGAGAGGGGGGGATAGAGAGAGGGGGGGGGAGAGAGAGGGGGGGAGAGAGAGAGGAAGGGAGAGAGAGGGGGGAGAGAGAGAGGGAAAGGGGGGGAGAGAGAGTGGGAGAGAGAGGGGAGAGAGGAGAGAGAGAGAGGGGAGATAGAGAGAGAGAGAGAGAGAGAGAGAGAGAGAGAGAGAGAGAGAGAGAGAGATGAGAGAGAGAGAGAGAGAGAGAGAGAGAGAGAGAGAGAGAGAGAGAGAGAGAGAGAGAGAGAGAGAGAGAGACTCTTCAGTGTTGTGCTGAATATGTCAATGCACAGCACTATGTGGATAATAAGTATGTTTAGTATATGCAAAATCTGAAAAAGTAGTCATGACAAATATGCATTTCACACTACATCAAAAATTCATGATAAGTCATAGAGAGTGTGGATATACAACTTCTAATCCTTAAAAATTAGAGGCCAAAAAAAGAAATACAGATCTCAAATACACTATTAAAATATTACAGGCCATAAAAGAAATACAATTTTCATACACACTAATAGATTCCTAAAATATTGCTTCGATACATGATTACTATTTCAAATTAAAAAGAAAAAGAAAAAAAAAGTTATCTATTCCTGACACGGTGAATTGCTATCAAGACAAATATTATTAGTGCCGAGTGCCTGGTTTTTGCATACTCAACAGTGCTGGGGATAAACAGTCTATCATTATAATTATAAAGAAGACTGACTAATTACAAATGAAGATGCCAAATACTATAAACAGGCACTGACATGAGTTGAAAACATAAGAACAATAAGACTGAAAATCAAACTGAACATTCATAAAACATCATCTGTAAACATCGCTTCCAAGAATCTGAGTCTGAACCACTGAGGAGTCACACAGCATTACACATTTAATAATATAAATCTTATAACCAATTTTTTACTTTATTTGGTAATCATAAACCCACTAAGTTTAAAAATTTTATAAAGTTCAAGAATTTTGGCATCTTACACCAGACAGTTATAATATTAGTGATATAAACTGTGCTCTGCAACCAGTTCCGCTCATTATGCAATGGCAAACTCCTTCCATTATTTGTCACAGTGAAAACCGTAATATGATGGTTTTAAAAGGACAAATATCATACATGGAAAGATTCTATTTCACTCAAGCATTTTTACCAAAGCTATTGCCTGCTAAGCATATGTTATAGCAACTGATGTTGATTTAATTTTTAATAAAAAAAGAAAGAAAATAGGATTCTTCATAGGTAAGTCACCATATCTTATTAATGGCCATTTTAAATAACATTTCTTTATTAAAGACAAGCTTAGCCAGATTGAATAAAGTCCTCTTGCACCACACAATCTTCTTTTGTTTATTTTCTAGATAAGTAAATGCCTTTCTAAGAAATAAATACCTCTTAACCTGAGTTAGCTTTCCATCTTACTTAACACTAGATGACTAACATGGTTAATATCCTAACAGATAGTACAGATTGCCATGTATGTGCTACTTTTGATCATAAAGATAACAAAGGCATGATTCACATGATACAAAAAATAATGCTGGGAGAATTGTATAAGAGTTAAAATATCAAATAATTTTCTATTACAAATTCTAAATAGTATAATACTTATTTATAAAAGCAAAAACATATGCCACCTATCTAACTCAAAATCCCACAATACTGTAAACTCTACCCTGATTCCACTAAATTGATCAGAAACATGAAGCTTACAAGTATATGAACACTAGCTTTCACATATTACTGTAACCTAGCATCATGACTGCCCTATATGACAATACCAAAAATTCAATTGAATCACTTACTTAAAGATGAAGCTCCCATTATTAAATGGTAATAGCAAAGATTCATCAACAAGATAAAGAATTCCTGACCAAAATACAAAAATTCCTAGATAAAATACAAAAACCATAAACTCGATATCAATTCTTAAAATAAGTGAGAGCTGAATACTAGATGAATATCTAGTCAAGCATTCAAAAAATTTTTAGTCATACATTTTCTATCTCTTACCAAAGGTATTTCTGAAATGCTTTATAACACAAAAATGTTTACAGCACTATATGGCAGTAAAACAACAGAACAATAACGACAATGTTAGGGCTCAAAAACAATTGGTAACAATTAGCTTTTAATGCAAATCTTTACCTTCAAAACAGAAACTGAAGGGGAACATGGATATTTAATATAGATGCCCTGCCATTAGGAGAAATGCACAAGTAGTAAACCACACGACAGGGAGTCATAACTTAAGACAGCACAATAATTTGTTTGCTTTAACAGGTAATCTACATATACATATATAAAACAAATATGAAATATGTATTTAAAAAAAGTCAAGAAACTGACTCCTGGCCTTCAATCTGTAACATCGAAAAAAGAAAGAAAGAAAAAAAATATGATCGTATTTTCATGTGAAATCATCTAATTAAAACAAATTTAAAAATAGCTTACAAAAGATCATAACTTTTATTTAAACTAAACTAAAACAATGCTGAAACTGACAGGGAGTCATGAAATCCTTGGCAAGAAAACAGTTAAAATAGTTTATATATGTGGTATGGCTTGACACTCCTTTCCAGTAAAATGGTCTTGCTGATTGCATAAAGGAGCTCTCAACAGGATGATTTAGAGAAAAAAAAGTTATTTCTGTCATAAATCTTTTAATCAAAGTGTATTCTAAATTTCATACATACCTAACCTCAGTAGTGGGGATAATATTTCTTAGCAAGTCTGCTTGAAGATGTGATGTCAAAACATTCATTACATATATGTATTGTAAAATTATTCACTCTCATTCACACTTTCCAAACATTTATCACAATGATTTATCACTCTGTTCATCTCTGATGGATATCATGAATAAGGCAAATAATTTCCTTTTCGATTATGGGTATAACTTTGGGCATAAAGTGGGTGACATACAAAAGGTTTCAATGCCAGAGTTAGTTACACTGTTACTGTCACTTCAACATCTGATGCTTGTTCACTTTATTTCTGACTAAATGAAATCTATTTTTTTCTCTCCTTTCTCTTAATGACAGTTTGCCCTAACTTAAAAAGTGGAGAAAGAAATCCATAAATCTGACCAATAAGTTGGGATGCAGATGGTGTAAGATCTTTCAGTTTCCAATTTTACACATTTTTTTTTCTATGTAAGCACAGTACCTGTTTCCTAGGTCCTGGATGTCAAACATATCTGATTAGCAAAATGCATTTTTTTTCTTTTATCAAAAAAAAAAAAAAAAAAAAAAAAAAAAAAACATAGATGAAGCTAATCTATCAGTTTATTCCCAGTGTTTGGGCCCACATCACTGAAGTTACCAAACCATCTTGAGGAAAAAAAGAATCACCATCCAATCAACAGTATTCACGCAAGTGATGGTAAAGTCCAAGGTTCATTTCATGTCACAGGACAAGTTACATGGTGCTCTTTAAGCTCTCTCTTCCTCACTGTTGCTGTCTAGGAGTCATCCATCTTGCACACCCAATCTAGTCATCAGGTAACCAAAACAAAAGAATAATCTGGAAAAGTATGGAAACCTCAATCAGTATACCATTAGAATTCAAAAGCACCAGATATACAGAACTATAAAATATATGATTTAAGATTACATTACTTAAAAATTTATAACATTATTATAATACATTGTACTTAACATTCACCACCTGATACCTACATTTTTCAATGTCTGAAGTCCATTCAAGGTGCTGTTTGATTGTTTGGTATCAATGTTTCAGCTGAGTCTCCAGACAGCTTTGGCTTATGTAAAAGCCTTCATATGTAACAAATCTTGAAAGGAAGAAAGCAGAATATCTGACATCCACAGCCAGTTTCTTGGGATTTTTATAGACTCTTGAGGTTGACTCCTTTGTAGCTTCACTGATGACAATGCCTTTTGTGTCTTCTTAATTTTGCCAATGGTTTGAAGGCTCAGATATTTCTATTCATTTAACCATTAGAGTCCATTGATAATCAAAGGAAACAGCAGTCTGACTGTATAAACCTTTACTACAGTAAGAGATTATCTATTGAGAATTAAATATATGGGAGAATAGCAATTGTAGTAAAGGTTACTAGTTCACAAATATGTGCATGGTAAGACTAAGAAATATGGAGAAATTATGTAAAATTAAATCAAAGCATTTTATAACTTTTCTATATTATTTTTTTGAAAAGGTAATTCTTCTCTTAGAAAACTAGTAAACATATAACCATTTTTCCCCCTAAAGATTTGTCACAATAAAAAAAAAGAACAAACAT